GGAATAACCTGGGGAGAGGTACCCTGGACCCCTTGACATCAAGAGATATAAATAGAAATTATGTTTTATGTCCATGTCTGTGTGAGCCTGTGTGCGACCAGCTCTCTGTGTGTGTGTGTGTTCCTGCAGGCGGCTCTTTGGACACTAGAAATAACAAGACTGACCCCCGCATGGCTTTGTGATGCAAAGAATCAGCTCAGCTCTAGCTGAGAAGTAAGAGGGACTTGCTTCGCCCACCTTCTCCACTCTAAATGTGAGTGAGCATCCCCTGCAGTGATAGGACTGGCAGCCCTGCTTGTTTACTTCCGCGCACAGGGGGTTCACTACCTACCAAGAGCTCCTGGCCCATCGCTAGTTGGCTCTGACTGTTAAAAGAGAAATTCTGTTCCTATTGGGAGGGAGAATCTGGTACACCTGAGGGTCCCCGTTACCCTCTTCCCCCGTCTACTTAATGCCTCCCTCTCAGCTCCACATCTCCACATCACATCCTCCTCCACCCCTGCGATGGGGTTTGGCCGCCTAGGCCTTGACCCTGCTTTTTCCAAGTGCCCAGTCACCCCCTTGATGCCAAATTCATCAGCCACTTGTCAGAGCTCTTTCTCGATACCTTTTAGTGGCATTTGACTCTGATGACCTCTCTTTTCTTGAAACATTCCCCTTTGACTAGATCCCCCTCACTCCTACCCCTGCCCCTCTCCCAGCCTCTGAATGTTGTTTCCCAGCCTCTTTCCAGGGGCCCCTCCTTTCTCCCACAACCCCTCAACGTGCTTGGCCCCAGTCCCAGGATCTCGTCTCTTCTTTCTTTACTGTCTCACCTTCGTGGGTTCAGCTGCAAACTACAGGCCTACAATGGCCATCTATACCTGCAAGCCAGATCCCTCTCCTCAAAACAACACCTACTATGTGCCTGAGCTCTGAGCCAGACACTAAGAAAACAGAGATAAGAGATGATACCATGAGTAGACCCGTAACTACAATGAGCAAGGCAGGGTTCTGATACAGGAAACTTGAAGAGTACATTGGCCTTGACCTTCTCCAACCCGCTCCATCCCATGTTCTCTATCAGAGATGGCACCATCATCTATGTCGTCTATGACAGCAGACGGAAGACTGTCCTGAACTCCCCCTCCCATTATAATAACGCTGCCATGTTCTGAACCTTCACTGTGTCTCTGAGGCTGTGCTCTGTAATAATAATTGTGTTCCCATAATCCATCCTTCCAACCTCATAGTAGCTACTGCCATTATTACAAGTGTACAGATAAGGAAGGTGAGGCTTAGAGTGATTAAATAATGTATTCAAGTTCACAAGGTTAATAAAGGTCAGGGCTGGGGCTCTAGCTTGCGTCTTTTGGTTGCAAAGTCCATTCTTACAGCCACATGCCATTGTGGGGGCTGTTAGATGCCATTGAGTCAATTCCGACCCACAGAGACCCTGTGTCCAACAGAACGAAACACTGCCCGGTCCTGCGCCAGCCTCACAATCCTCTCTATGAGCACATTGTCGCAGCCACTGTGTCAGTCCATCTTGTTGAGGCTGACCCTTTTTTGCTGACTCTCTACTTTCCCAAGCATGACACCCTTTTCCAGGGAATTGGCCCTTCTGACCACATGACCAAAGTAAG